TTTGTATTTTTTAAGCAGAATATATTTTTGTCTGATATCAGTTTGACAGAAAACTGAAATTTCCAAATTTCCCAGCAGAACACCCCTTTTTCCCCCCAGTGCCCCTTTCCAGCTCCTTACAGTGTTATAAATAAGGTCAGCTTTCCAGCTAATTTGAGGAGCACAGCGCCCCAACTGCAGTCAAATCCTCCTGATTTACACTGCCATAATGCAAATCTGGGTGAGTTCTTGGGGAAAGCAGATGTTTCCCTTAATTTTAGTGTCCCAGGTTACTTCAGGGATACCCCAGGCCCATTGACTGAAAACTTCAAAATGAAAGAGAAGTCCTTCCTTCTCACACTCACTCCCTCAAAGGGATGTGAGTTCCAGGCCAGATTAACAAGATTTATTCCACAACAGAAAGATCACTAAAGGATTTATCTCTGGTTCTCATTCTCCAAAGCCATCAGGCCCCTCTACTCTGTTTTTCCCCCTCTATTTTTCTGTGGTGAGACCCCACCTGCAGTGCTGTCTCCAGCTCTGGGGCCCCCAACACAAGAAAGACATGGAGCTGTTGGAAAAAATGCAGAGGAGGCCACTAAATGCATCACAGGGCCAGAGTCCCTCTGCTCTGGAGACAGGCTGAGAGAGCTGGGGGTGTTTCCCTGGAGAACAGAAGGCTCTGGGGAGACCTTAGAACCCCTTCCAGTGCCTAAAGAGGCTCCAAGAGAGCTGGAGAGGGACTTTGGGCAAGGGCCTGGAGTGACAGGAAAAGGGGAAATGGTCTTAGACTGAGGGAGGGAAGGTTTAGATCAGACAATAGGAAGAAATTCTTTACTGTGAGGGTGGGGAGGCCCTGGCACAGGTTGCCCAGAGAAGCTGTGGCTGACCTATCCCTGGAAGTGTTCAAGGCCAGGTTGGACAGGTCTTGGAGAAACCTGGGATAGTGGAAGGTGTTCCTGCCCATGGCAGGGCGTTGGAATGAGATGATCTTTAAGGTCTCTTCCACCCCAAACCATTCCATGTTTCTATGACTCTATGACTGTCTGTCCCTCAGACACACCCCTCAAATGGGATGGAAGTCTCCTCTGGAAGTCCCTGTATCTCCACTGACTCTCAGGGAAAGTTAGAAGATTACATTACATCAGATAGCTGGGATAGGTTCCATCCCACATCTTTTGGAGGCTGACAGATCCCTCCACCTGAACCAGTCTTCTGCATTCCCTTCATAGACAGAGGAGAGAAGCAAGCACTGGATGAGTCAAATGGAGCAGAAAGGGCCCTGGATACGTGAGTGGCTCCAGAGTTTAGACATCTCAAGTGGAGTGTTGGGAAGTTCCCTTGTAATTTCCTTGTTTTTAACGTAAAACATTCATCCCCAAAAGCCTCAAAGCTGAAGATCTCCAATGATGGATGATTCGTGAGGACCAAAATAGCGATTCAAACCCTGCTCAGAATTCTGCAGTTGTTTGCATTTTCACACCCTGCATGGAAACACAGGAAAAAAATACTCCCAATATTCCTGTCCACTGGTAAACTGGGAACAGGAACTGGGAACAGGCCTTTCCTGTCACTATTGCAACACTGAGCAGAAGGCAACTTTGGCTACTTGGAGGGTTCTTGACTTTCTCCACCCTCAGCTGTAGGTCACAGGATCGTAGAGTCACTGAGAAAAGAAAAGACCTCTCAGGTCATTGAGTCCAACCATTCCCCCAGCACTGCCAAGGCCACCACTAACCCATGTCCCCAAGTGCCACCTCTATGAGGCTTTTAAACCCCTCCAGATGGCCCCACCACTGCCCTGGGCAGCCTGTTCCAATGCTTGACAGAGCTTTCCATGAAGAAATTTTTTTCTAATATCCAATCTAAACCTTCCCTGGCACAGCTTGAGGCCATTTCCACTTGTCCTGTCTCTTGTTGGTTGCAAGAATTCCACCCCTGAGTCTCCTTTTCTCCAGGCTGAGCCCCCTCAGCAGCTCCTTATAAGACATCATTAGGCAAGGCAACAAACTTCATGTGTAAGCATTTCTTTTGTGATCCATATAAAACCATGGAATAACCTGGGAAAGGAGGATAACAAACAAGAGCAACTGAAGTCCAGATGAGGCAGAATGAGATGCCACTTGAAATCTGAATATTTTTTACGTAGAATAAAATATCTGATTATAATTTGAAGGGGGGTGTGATTGGATAAACACTCAGAGCTTGATAGTGAGAGCATCTATGTGCAATGGCTGGAAATCATAGGGAAGGTTTTGAATGTAAGATTACAGGACAAGCACTCCTCCTCCACCAGATTATTAACACACCTGAGGTTTTGAATTTCTCCTTCATTTCCCATGAAAATATTTTTAAAAAAAAGGCAAACATTTTAAATCCATCATTAAACAGAAGAGGACCACTTTTTAAAGACAGTTGATGGTTTAGAAAGCTGGGTTTCTGCTCCAGTCTGACAAGGTACAATATCAGATGCTGTCTGAGAGCTGAGATGAATATCTTAGCTAGTATCTCCCTGGCTTCAGTGGGAACCTGAGCCAACTGAAGGTTTCTTGGCAAGGTCTTTGCTTCACCCCTTTTTCTGGAGTACCTGAAAATGGACATAAACATCTCTCCTGCCCCTGTGCTGCTCAGGAGGCTTGATGGCATCTGCAAATCTGAAATGGAAAGCAAACAAAGAAACCAGGGAGGCAGAGAACAATGCACAGCAGCTGAGGGGGAGGTTTGTATTGTTGGTATCAGAGCTGCTGGGTCAGAACAACATCAGTAAATATCATGTATAGAAACAGGCTTGAGGAAGTGAGCTGCTCTGAGGGAGAACCTGTGCTATCAGCTGCTCCTTCCACATGACTCTGGGTAACACCATTCAAACACTGTGTGGACAGATCCTTGGGAAGACTGTGTCTGTGTCATGAATCTCACCTGTCCTCTGCTCTTTGTACACCTGTAAAGGTGCTGCTCATAACGTCTGCAAATTTATTATCTGCACCTCATGTGTCATAGAATTGTGGAATGATGGAATGGTTTGTGTTGGAAGAAACCTTAAAGACCATCTGGTTTCAACCCCCTGCCATGGGCAGGGACACCTTCTGCTATCCCAGATTGCTCCAAGCCCATCCAACCTGGCCTTGAACACTTCCAGGGATGGGGCAGTCACAGCTTCTCTGGCCAACTGAGAAGGTATGACCCTGCTGTATGTCCTGTGATGGAACAGTGGTTTCCAAGAAAAGGAAGTGAAGGATCGTGACCATTTCATCCATAAACATATCAAATAATTGTATTTCATTCTGTGAAAGGTGCTGTGAAGAAAATAAAATAAAATAAAAATAAATCTTTTTTCTTTGTCAAATTATCCTTAAAAAGCCAGAAAAGTGACAAAACATTTCCTGAAGCAAAGAGGAGTCAAATACTCATTTCTTGTTTACAGGCACTCAGGGTGCTGAACAATGACTTTAGGCAATAAGGGCAGGAACCCACAGTGCTGACTGCTGCTAAGATGGAAACATGTTACTTTTTTAGTAGAAAAATGGCATTTTTAGTAACAATACAGTATGTTCCATGGGAGTGAAGTCCTGGCAGCCCAAGCATAAACCAAGCTGGTTAATTCTAGACTGCTGTAACAACTTGTGTTACATGCTGGAGCATGGCAGGACTATTCATAGAATCACAGAATGGTTTGAGTTGGCAGGGTCTTTAAAGATTATCCAGTTCCAACCCCCTGCCATGGGCAGAGCCACCTTTCACTAGACCAAATTGCTCAAAGCTTTGAGCTCGAAGCTCAGATTTGAGGATAAGAAGTGTGGGAGAGCAGTGGGACATACTCAGCCTTGGGGAGACTCTCTGGCGATTTCCACACGCTTTTATTTAAATACATTATGAAACCAAGTGAGCATTTTTGCAGAAGTGCAGGTTGGTGCATTCCGACTGACACATTTTCCATAAAATAACAATCCATTCAGACTGAAACCCTGTGAGCTCTGGGCTTGGCCAGCTAAGTACAAGTATCTACATCAAAGCTTTCTACATGTGTGTCGGGTCCTAAGGTCCCACTATAACTAAACAAGTGATTTGTGTCCTAGAATCACTAACTGAACATCTCATTCCAGTGCAGCCACGTCCATATTTGATGCCTACATCTATCTGAGTGTAGCACTGACCACTGTGCTGCCAGTGTAGCACCTTCCAGTACCTCAAGGGACCTATAAAAAGCTGGAGAGGGACTTTATACAATGGCATGGAGTGAGGAGACACTGGAGCACCTGGGCTATGGAAACAGGATGAGAGAGCTGGAGATGTTCAGTCCAAAGAAGAGAAGGCTCCAGGGAGGTCTTGGAGCCCCTTCCAGTGCCTAAAGGGGCTCCAAGAGAGCTGGAGAGGGACTTTGGATAAGGACCTGGAAGGACAGGACAAGAGGGAATGGCTTCCTACTGCCAGAGGGTAGGGTTAGATGGGATATTAAGGAGAAATTGTTCTCTGTGAGGGTGGGGAGACCCTGGCACTGGTTGCCCAGAGAAGCTGTTACTACCCCATCCCTGGAAGTGCTCAAGGCCAGGTTGGACAGGTCTCAGAGCAACCTGGGATAGTGGAAGGTGTCCCTGCCTATGGTAGGGAGTTGGAAGTAGATGATCTTTAAGGTCCCTTCCAACCCGAACTATTCTATGATGATCCTGTGATATTCCAGCTGCCTTCTCTCCCTCCAAACGATTGCTAAGTTCCTCCGGGCTGTCCATTACCACCACCTTGATCTTTGAAGTCAACAAGTAACGACACTCTCAGGTGGGTCAGTGTTGAGAACCAGCCCTCCCAGTGGTCAGGCAGGGAGGTGGAGTCGTTTCTCCACTTGCTTTCATGACCCTGTGCCATTGTTCAGGCTTAGCCGTGTGCAGAGGTCAGACTGAACTCGCTGCCTTCCACACTCACCCCTGCCAAGGTCCCCCACACAGCCAGCCCTGCTCCCACAGCCCTATAAATGCCACAGTGCTCCCTCCTGCCCTGCTCAAAGGTTCTGGTGTTGTGGCCCCGTCTCCACGCTGCAGCTGAGACCTGCCACCATGAAGCTCTTCTCCTGCCTCATGGCTCTTCTCCTCTTCCTCCTCCAGGCTGTTCCAGGTAAAGGGCAAGACCCACGCTGGGGTCTGCCTGTGTAGGAGGCACAACTCGCTTGTGTGGTGGTGCAGAACATACTCTTGAGCTCCTTTCATTAGAGCAGTTCCCTATTTCTCAGTCTGGAAGCAGAAGTGAAAAATCAACCTATGGTGAGCAGGTGTCAAACTAGAACCTCCCCACCAGGTGTTGGCTTCTTATGACTCTATGAAGTCTTTTTTTGTCCATATTGCAACATGATACAGTGGAAATCATCTGCCTCTTCTAACCCAGGGTTGGAAATTTTCTCCCTTATGTAAGGTAGAAGAGAGGAGAGATGTTCCCTTTTATTACTCAAGATGAGCTACACCAGCAAACCTGACTTCAGCTCTCTGAATATTCTGCTTCCACTTCCTCAGCCTCTCAGCTGCAGTAATTTTCTGATTCTGTTCTTCATGTTTCTTCTACATGTTCTTCATGCTCAGTGAAACTCCTCATTCTGGAGTCAGGCTTTTGGAGAAGGAAGGAACTGGGCAAACTGCTTGTCCCTGTTAATTGGGCCATATCCCACTTTTGGGGGCTTTTTAAAGTCACAGTTACCTCTCAGGGCAGGTTTTCACCATGCTGTCCCTTGCATGACCAGCCTGCAGCATTGCAGGCCCAGAACTTAGAAGTATCCAAAGGCTGGGCTCTCATTCCCTGATAGCCCCTCAGTCCAGAAAGGACGTGGAGGGGCTGGAGCAGGTCCAGAGAGGAGCAATGAGGGTGGGGAAGGGACTGGAGCACAAGTTGTGTGAGGAGAGGCTGAGGGAGCTGGGGGAGCTCAGCCTGGAGAAGAGGAGGCTCAGAGGAGACCTCATCCCTCTCCACAACTCCCTGAAAGGAGGTTGTAGCCAGGTGGGGGTTGGTCTCTTCTCCCAGGCAACCAGCAGTAGGACAAGAGGGCATGGTCTTAAGCTCTGCCAGGGGAAGTTTAGGTTGAATATTAGGAAGAAATTTTTCATGGAGAGAGTAATCAGACATTGGAATGGGCTGCCCAGGAAAGTGGTGGATTCACTGTCCCTAGAGGTTTTTAAGATGAGAATGGATGTGGCATCAGTGCCATGGTCTGGGAACCACAGCGGTGTTGGAACAAGGGTTGGACTTGATGATCTCGGAGGTCTTTTCCAACCTAGTTCATTCTATGATTCTATGAATGCCCAGTTCAGAAACTTTACATCAACATCTGCTTTTCACTCTGGTTGCACCAAAGCTCTCCTTGGAGTCCTTTGAGGTTCCACGAGTTTCTCAGAACTCCTGGAAAAGCTACCCCGAGTTTTGGGGGTATTTGTATCAGATCCCTAAGTGGGGTCTGTGGGGTTTCAGCAGGAGGAAGGCCTGTGAGAATGGACTGATACGTGAATGATCCCAGTGAACTGGGAATCCCGTTCCTCCTGTAGGTCTCGGCTTGCCCAAGGACACCCTGCGTTGTCTGGAATACCACGGCTACTGCTTCCATTTGAAATCCTGCCCGAAGCCTTTTGCTGCGTTTGGAACTTGCTACCGGCGTCGGAAAACCTGCTGCATAGGTATGGGTGGGGGCCCTGCCCAGGCAGGAGAGGACTAAAGTCAGCAAAACACTGCTCTGATAAGCCCCCAAAGTCCACCTTGGTGCCTCTGCTTTTGGAGACACAGTAACCACAACTTCCCGACAGTTTTTGATGTGTGAGTTGGTTCGGACGATGGTGTCATGTTTTGTGGTTTGATTTATATCCTCTGAATTGCAGACACGACATCAAACTTCCACATTTGTCAAGAGGAGGGGGGTCATTGTGTGCCCCCAGAAATCGGATGCCTGCAAGAACAAGTGGGGCTCTGCCCTCGCAAGGGATGGAAGTGCTGCACAGAAGTGTGACGAGGACCTCGTGGAATTGCAGAGAACCACAGAAATGCATGGCCAAGAAAACAACTGAGGGGTTTTCTTCTAGTGTTTTAGGGATGTCTGGTGTTCTCAACATGCAAAATGTGTAATTAATTAGAGGCAACATGTTTTTTTATATAACAAGGGCAATAAATGCTAAATAAACAGGTGTAACAGTTGTGTAGGTATGGAAAGAGGCAGAATATCTCTCTATTACCCCCCACAGAAATCCACACAGCTTTGCTGCTGCATCCTTAGAAACTACATCCACTAAGCCTATTTATCAGCCTAATCTTACTTACCGGGTTGATGTTATGCTTGGATGTTTTACAGGATTGGGGACAATTAATCAGGGAATCACAGAACCGTTTAGGTTGGAAAACACCTCCAAGATCATTGAGTTCAACCTTTGACGAATCTCCACCTTGCCAACCAGACCAGAGCACTGAGTGCCACATCCAGGTGTTTCTTGAACATTGAACACTTCCAGGGAGTGGCTGAGGGGGCTGGGGGTGTTTGGCCTGGAGAAAAGGAGGCTCATGAGAGACCTTAGCACTCTCTAAAACTACCTGATAGGAGACTGTAGCCAGGTAGGGGTTGGTCTCTTCTCCCAGGCAACCAGGAACAAGAAGAAATGGCCTCAAGCTGCACCAGGAGAGGTTCAGGTTGGACAGTAAGAGGAATTTCTTCATGGAAAGGGTGGTTAAGCATTGGAATGGGCTGCCCAGAGAAGTGGTGGACTCACCATCCCTGGAGGGATTTAAAAGATGTGTAAATGGGCACCTGGGGACACAGTTTAGTGTTGGGCTTGGCAGTGCTGGGGAGTGATTGGTCCTGATTATCCTAGAGGACTTTTCCAATTTAAATGATTCCAGACTATGTTGTTCAGCTTGTTATTTTTGTAGAGAGAAGGGAAATTTTAACCTTGCTCTTTCAGCCATCCAGTTTTGGATGTGTTCACACAGCAGTGACATTGCCACAGCAGTGACATTGCCACAGCTGAAGGGACATCAAACAGCAGGCCCAGGCAGGGCAGCAGGAATATCACATTTCACAGCAAGAGCTGCACATCTATCACAGATTTACCACCACAGGGTGCATTGCTGAGCTAACAGCCACCCCCTCCACCAGCACTGTGTGCTCATATCACACTCAGGAATGAAGCCTCCCAAATTCCTCAGAAGCCAAAGCTGGGGGGAAAAAAAAAAAAAAAAAATCACACCCAGGTTTCAGCTGCAGAAAATATTCACACAAGCTCAGATGAAAACCAAATCACTCCCAGCCTGCACCGTTCTCTTTGCAGTTCCTCAGGAGTTTTTTCCCTTGCAGGTTGCCTCCCTCCCACTCATCAGTTCGCAGGACTTTGCTGGTGAAGGGCAGAGGATCCCTCTGAGCCTCTTTTCCCATCTGGTGACCTACCAGTCCAAAATGCCAGCTTCCAGGGAGAGGGGAATCAGGGAAGCCGATAACCAGGGAATGTGAAACAAGTCGACATTGTTTGGAGCCACAGCACTGGGTCAGAACGACACAAAGGGTTGCTCAGCAGCAAATGTCACTCCTGGGACTGGAATATAATTAACTCCTGCCTGTTCCTTCCCTCCCCACGGATGCCACCCAGCATGCCAGCAGCACACAGAGGCTTCTGCACAATCTCACACTCAGCCCTGCAGTTTTCCAGCAGAGCCAGAGCAATGAGGATCCTTATGTTCATTTTCATCTTCGTCTCCATGATCCAGCACGGTAAGACCGGGAAGGCCGAGGGTGGTTAACTGAGGGATCTGGAACAGGAATAATCTTTCCTCGCTGTATAATATTATAGGTACTGAGGAAAGGTGTCCTCAGGTTCCTGGGTGGCAAAATGCATGGTTTAATCCCTTGGGGTAATGCAAAAATGAGCAGGGATTCATAGAATCACAGAATTATTAGTGTTGGAAAAGGCCTTTAAAGGTCATCTAGTTCCAACCCTTTTAAGAAAGAAGCTGTGCCTTTGCAGGAAAAGCCCTAGAGGAGATACCCTGTGCTCTGGGAAAACATTCCTGCCTTTCCTCAGGCTGCAGTTGCCTTCTTGGCAGGGCGAGGACGACCACCCTGACCTCCCATGCGCAGTCTTTGCCAATGCCCTGAAAAAACAATTTTGTGATAAAATGTCCCTTGAGGGGGGTTGGTTCTGCAGCTTGGGATTTTTAACATGGATGTCTGAAGCTGTCCTGTGGGATGGGGATGCCCAGGCTCCATGTGCTGGCTTGGCTGGCTGGGCACAAAGTACCACGGGAAGCCCCACAAGTTTTACCCACCCAATTTGACTTGCTGCTTCTTTGCACAGGAGATGCTCACGGACCAGAGGGCTGTAACCACGAAGGGGGCTTGTGCAGAGTTGGAAACTGCATTTCTGGTGAATACCTGGCTCAGTTCTGCTTTGAGCCCATCATTCTCTGCTGCAAAAATTTGCCACCCACCACCACAAAGAGCTGAAGTTTTCCAAAGGAGCCAGAGAGCTGCTGTCAGGCTCCACTGACAGGGCAGAAGCAGCTGTTGGGAAGGAGATCTTGTGGTTTCTGTGATTGTTGCTCCCCTGGGAGAACATGGCTGTGGATTCACGTGTGAACTCCTGAACACTTCGCTTTTTTTATGACTTCCAGGAAACACTCTGACAGGAAGAAATTGGGACCACCCAAACTGTTTATCACCCCTCTGGGACTCTCGTTGTCACCTGTCACACACGAGTGAGAAATTGCCTTTCTCCTCACCTGAAATAAATAAACTTGAAGATTAAGAGAGCAGCAAGTCCCTGTCTGTGACTTAGCAAAGTTGCTGGAGGTGAGACCCCCCCTCTCCCACTGACCAGGAGTGAACACAGCAGCCCTCACCTTCCCAGCAGAGCAGGGTGACTCTGTCTCTGTATTTCCCCTCCCAGAGAAAACAAATGTAAGTGGGACAGCGATTTGGGCATCACTTTTGGTGCAGAAGCAACCTGGTTTGATGTAAAGTCAAGTGTGGTCTGTGTTTCTTGGGCAAGACCCCCCCATATCCACTCTTCCCTTCTGGGCTGTGCCAGGATCTTACAGGCAGTCATAGAATCCCAGAATGGTTTGCGTTGGAAGGGACTTTGAAGATCATCTCATTCCAACCCCCTGCCATAGGCAGGGATACCTTTCACTATCCCAGGTTGCTCCAAGCCCCATCCAACCTGGCCTGGAACACTTCCAGGGATCCAGGGACAGCCACAGCTTCTCTGGGCAACCTGTGCCAGGGCCTCACCACCCTCACAGGGAAGGATGTTCTTCCTGAGAGCACAGATTTACTTGTTTTAAACATGGTGGGGAGGGGATCTGACATCTGTGTCCCACTGCCCCTCACAGGCTGCCCTGCCCATCCATGGAGTGCATTTCTGGTGTTCCTTCTTTCCTCTGTGGTCACCCAGCAATAGTCCCAAAGAAATTAGCCTCTTTACCATGAGCAGCTTTCTTCCTGTGAGCTCCATCAGCCTAAATCCATTAGCTGTCCAGATCCACTCTCAGCCCTTCTGTGTCTTTTCAGCATGAAATTTTGACATTCCCCTTCCTTTGTCAGCTCCTGGTCTCCCTTTCCAGGTAAAATATTCCTCTCTGGGTCAATCATTTCTGTGAAAGCAAGAAAACAATGATGTAATGAGAGAGCTATGCCAATTTGCTGAGGCACTGGTCAGAGCCAGGGAAAAGTCCTCCCTGGGAGATTAAATTCTTGCTCTGACGAATCAGTAAGGAAAATTCCCATTGACCTCACCAGGGTCAGGACCCATCGCCAGAGATCCAACAATTCATTCATTCCAGTGTCTCCATTCACCCGTGAGCAGCCCAGCTGTTCTCCAGCACTCCCCTGGAGATCCCCTGCAGTTGGATGAACCTTCAGGAGAGCCAGATTACCCAGCCCTGGCTGTTGGCTTGGGAACCAGTGCTGGAAACAATGTTGGGCTGAGCCCAGAGCCAAATTCCTCCCCAGATCCAGCCCCTGTCTCTGACGCAAACTGATGTACTAGGACAACACAGGGAGGGTTTTAAATCAGAGCACCTTTCCAAATTAAACTGTTTATTTCTCACGTTCGTCCACAGAGTTCATTATTTGTGCTTCTTATCTGGGAAGGTTCACCCATCACGGATACAGCCTGGTTTCCTAAGGAAGTGAAAGGTGGGCTCATGCAGCTCACCTTGCACATCTCTGTGATGGTCACTGGGCCTTCTGCCCCTGATATGTTTTGGACCTGCTGGTTTTCAGTCAGAAAAAGTAGAAATGCTCAATTTATAGGCAACATTGTCCCTCTGGTAGTAATGAAAATTTAGGCTGCTGACAAAAGGCATGGTTTCTTTATTACATGGTCCCACCCTCCTGAGTCTTTGTGTTCCATTCCTTGCTAATCTGGCTAGAAATAACTCCCCCCAAAAAATCATAGAATCTTCATGGAATGATTCGGGTTGGAAGAGGCCTTTTAAGATCATCTAGTTCCAACCCTCCTGCCATGGGCAGGGCAGTACTAAACTCTTCTGAGTGACCATGTTCATCCACTCAGCACAGAGCTGTTCATGAGACCACTCTCCTACTCAAACACTGTTTTCCAACCCTTTAAACCCAAAAGCCAGAAAATACTCGTTGATTGAAGCACTCAGTAACAGCTATACCCACCATGACCCTTTAGCAGCGGATTTCCACACAGGACCACCAGTCCTACCCAACTGGGACCATTTCTCAGAGTGCAGACTCACATGCAGTCAATGGATTCAGCTGAATCCAACCCTTTACTTGCAGGATTGCATGTAGGAGTAGAGGCCACAGTCAGACAAGCTTAGGGGCAAGACAAGGTGGCAGAAGAAATGAGAAGGTGAAGTCTATCATCCCTTGAGAGATGCAGGCTGGTGAGCATTTAAACCAGGCTGGAAGTCAGCTCTGAAAACACATTAAGGATTTGGGAGAAAGCCAAATGGGAAGGAGGATTTTTGTGGGAAAGGATTGGTTGAGCTTTGAACTCCAGCTGTCTGTACCTGATAGAACTCTGAAGGTTACAAAATAGGGGTTCTTTAGTACTACCCTATCAGACCTACACCAGCTCCTCGGGGAGACACAAAAACCATCCAGGCATCTTGGGGGCTATATCTGGGGTCTCTGCAGCCATACAGGCAGCCAGGATAGATCCCTACCATCATGCTTGGTCTGTCAACCATCATAAGCCTCATGGATAACTGAGGGTGTTAGTTCATCAAGGCATGCCATGAATTCCCTCGTTGGAATTTGTTTGCTCTTCGCAGGCAGTGGGCCAGTGTTTGTTTGGCAGAGAGAGCGAGACAGAGGTGAAATCCTCCACTTCTGCCCTAAGAACGGCATTGTGATTGGAGCTGTGGAATCAGGAGCTGTACAGTGGCTGGATGAGCTCCTGCCTGGGGGAGCTGAGGTCCCATAGCTGTGGGCAACCCCTTAGACCCAGGTTGTCTCTTACATCCCGGGCAATCCCACATAAATGCAACCACCTGCATGGCCAGCTTTTCTTTCATCCCCACGCAGGAGAAAGGGAGTCACATTCCACCTGCTCACGTGGCTGCTTCTCCACCTCCTGTGGAGTGAAAGATCTCATCCTACCACAGCCCAGCTCCATGGGCGTGCCGGGGAGATAAAATATACTCTGGGATTCAGAGGCTGTGCCTACACTAGTAAATGGAATCACGTGAGGCTCAGGCTCAGATACCAGTGCATACTCTCATGTGCTGCCAGCAAGAGGAGCCCTTGGACACGCTGTTCCTTGGCACAGTTTGGAGGTGGGTACATTCCAGGAATGATCTGTAATGGACAACTGGCATCTGGATGTGGTCATGCAGCTGGTGGGGAGAACTCAGCTGTGAGAACACAAGGTGTGCTCTGTCTGTGTGCTGTGGGGCAAAGAACAACATTTTCTGTGTCAGGCTCTGGACTCCTCAACGTTAGGCAGACGTGGACCTGTTGGAGCGAGTTCTGAGGAAACCAAGAAGAGTGGTGTGTAACAAGAGCCTCCTCAAGGCCATGGGGGATTTCTGGGCCAGGGCTGAGTCCAGAGCTGAGCCCATGGTCATTTCTTCACAGGCTGAATTGCAGGGCTCTATCAGTGCCTGCTTGGCTTGGGGTTTGGTAAAAAGCCATCAGTGGGATGTGGAGGTGGAGGTGGCATCGCAAGCTGGTAAGGGTTCATTCACCGAAGGATTTGCTCCTGCTGGCATCAACTTATCCCAGGATTCATTTAAAATACTTCTGCTGAGATCCTGGCCCAAAGGCAGATGAAGTCAGTGGAGACATCCTTCCTGCTTGGGGCTGTAGGGCGGATGCAGATTGATTTGGCTCCTCCCCAGCCCCTAAACCTCTCAAGTGCCCAGAAGATGATTTCTGTGCCGTGTGTCTCTGAGCACAGATGAGCCTTTGTGCATGGTGGGCTCTGAAACAAGACATCTGGTGGCAGGTTGGGAAGCAGGAAAAGGCAGCAGGCTGCTGGGCCAGCCCCAGTAGGCTCAGCAGAGGCTGAGGCCAACGCAGCATCGGGACCACGCCAGAGGGAGCAAGACCAGCTGTTGTTCAAGCAGTTGCCCAGAGGACAGAGATTTCCTGCCCCTGATTTCTGGAGGAAATCTGGTTTTTGTTGGTACTCTCTAGTTCTGGCTTTTTTTCCCAAGGCACGTTCTGCAACCCAACCCATGTACCACAGAGCTGCAGAGCAGGGGCTTGTGGTGGTGTGGAGGACACATCCTGGTCCCTGTGGAGCCTGCAGCATCCAAACATCTCCAGGCAGAGCTCACTCTCTGCAATGATGCTGCTCCCACCACAGGAGAGCAGCTGAGCTGGAGATAAAACATGGCATTTTGCCATTCATCACTGGGAACACCATGGCCACGTGGTCCTCTGGCTCTGCTCTAAACATCATCCCTGGAGCACATCAAGCCTCCTGCACACACATGCTGAAGTCACACACTCAGAGCAGGACACTCAGATGAGCATCCACACACTCCTCCCTGCTTGGGCTGCAGCTCAGGAGTTGCAATCTCTTTTCTGTTAGATAAACCCTGCCCAAATTCTTTCCTTTGCAGGTTCTTTGCTGTGAGGGTGGTGAGGCCCTGGCACAGGTTGCCCGACGAGGTTGTGGACTCCCCATCCCTGGAGGTGTTCAAGGCCAGGCTGGACAGGGCTTGGAGCAACGTGGGATAGTGGAAGGTGTCCCTGCCCATGGCAGGGGGGTTGCAACTGCATGGTCTTTAAGGTTCCCTTCAAACCAAACCATTCTATGATTCTAAGAAATCCCACTGCACTGTCTCTCACATTGGAGACGTTGACCCTCAGCCGTGGGTTATGGTCTTCCACCCTCTGCACCGAGCAGTGCCACCAAATAGGCAAAACACCAACACTTGCAGAGAGGCTCTACACACATCCTTGCAGCCAACCCTCCCAGAGATGTTTTTCCAGAACCATTTTCCATCCCCAGGTTGTGCATGGCCAGTTTGCATGACACCCTGTGTAAGTGCTCAGTGTCCTGTGAGCCAAAGTCCAGCTGGTGAAGGCCCCTTATCTGCACTGTTTGATGAAGGTGATCCTTGTTCTGTTCAAGCAGCCTGAAGGACGTGGGTTTGACATTTTCCAGCACCACCTGGCATCCAGCCTGCAAATTAAAAGCTACCAAGGTGACTAATTAAGGGAAAACAGAAGGCTTGGTGATGGCCTGGGCTGTGTTGTTGCTGTAAAAAGAAACCTTTATAAAGTTTTTATTTCCTCTTCCTCCATTTGTTGTTGTTTGGGGGAGATTTCTGCTTGTTGTTTGCTTTGTGTTGTTTTCTAAAGTTGAAACACAAGTCCCACCTCTACTGATTTCCTAGAACTGACCTGGAAAACTAGGAAAAACCTGAGAGCCTGCCAGCTTTCTTGGGGCACCTGGAATACACGAGCTTTCCTAATGCTCCTAGATATCACAGGGAGGAATCCTAGCTTTCCCATTTAATAAATGCAGAAATTAATAAAATACTAAATTGCCATTTTTCTTGACAGCTGTAAACAAAACCTTGGCAATCAGCCTCTCTGCAGCCTGGAAGTTGGGAAATAGAGGCAGACCTTCAATTTTTTTTTTTAAGTATTCCATTATTTTCAAGCCAACTTTGTGTGGGGGGGAGTGCTGAGGAGGAGACTCTGGATTTTTTCACACTCGACTGTGTCAGTGCTAAACACAGAGACTGGGAGCTGGAAATAAAAAAAAAAAAACACACTTTGATACTGCAAACACTTGGACTGGATTTTAACATCACATGCTCGAGCCTACGAACACAGAGCCAGACTGGGTCAGCCCCAACTTCCTGTCTCCAGCAGCAAGCAGTAGCAGACTCCCCAGTGCTCAGTGCTATTTGTTGACAGAACACTGTCTTTTTTTTTCCCCCATTTTTGTTTTTTTCTTTCTTCTTTTTTTTTTCCTTATTTTTTCCTCGATTTTTTTGCCTGTAACACGGTGTGACCAAGAGCAGGCACACCCCAGTGCAATTGTTTGCTGTCGTGTTGAAATGCACCTGAGATTGACAAAGTTCCCTCCACTCCAGGAGTGTTACACAACACCTCAGGGCACTATAAATCCAGGATTTCCCTCTTCTTCATCTCCTTACAGGCCCTTCACTCCTCCCCCTGGTGGGACCTCCACCCACGAGCCATGCGGATCCTCCAGCTGCTCTTTGCAGTCATTGTCATTCTCCTCCTCCAGGACATTCCAGGTAAGGACAAAATGCTCACAGGGGTTTCTGCAGGAATGCAAGAGGGAGAAAAGGACAAGACAGGGCCCTCAAGTCAAGGCTGACCTAACTCTTGCTTCCAAGGAACAAGTTTCTTCTGTGATGGTCCCCATGAAGTTCCTGGATGCAGCTGTTCCAGGTTCTTAGGTTGCATATTCCCTCCTCCCCATCCCCTCAAAACTCATCCAGAAATGCTCCTGAACAGAGGAGCATTTCCACAAAATTCTCCACAAAACAAGGAGAATCCCATGAAATTCTCCTTGAGTAGAATACAGAGGTGGCAAATGCATGAAAATGAGAGCATGACCAGCAGCTTGAGGGAGATGATTTTCCTCCTCTGCCCCACTCGTGTGAGACCCCACCTGCAGAGCTGCTTCCAGCTCTGGGGCATCAACACAAGAAAGACATGGAGCTGCTGGAGATACTCCAGAGGAGGCCATGGAGATGCTCCCAGGGCTGGAGCCCCTCTGCTCTGGAGCCAGGCTGGGACAACTGGAGGTGTTCACCTGGAGAAGAGAAGGCTCCAGAGAGACCTTGAAGTCCCCTTCAGTTCTTAAAGGGGCTTCAAGAGAGCTGGAGAGGGACTTTGGACAAGGGCCTGGAGGGACAGGACAAGGGGAATGGTCTTAAGCTGAAGGAGGGAAGGTATAAACTAGATATTAGGAAGAAATTCTTGGCTGTGAGGGTGGGGAGGCCCTGGCACAGGTTGACCAAAGAAACTGTGGATTCTCCATCCCTGGAAGTGTTCAAGGCCAGGTTGGACAGGGATTGAAGCAACCTGGGATAGTGGGAGGTGTCCCTGCCCATGGCAAGAAGTAGGAAGTAGATGATCTTTAAGGTCCCTTCCAACCCAAACCATTCTGTGTTTCTTTGATTCTATGAAGTCAAAGCCATCTTTCAAGGGAAAAAGCAGGGAGAAAGACTTCTAGTTTACTTTTTTGTCTGTCTGCTTTCTTTTGGGATGCTGTTTTAATAGAAAAACATTCCTTAGCTTGGTACTTTCACTGGTTGCTTGTATATATTTAGGAATATATATATGTATATATAATTCCTATATACATATATATATATATATAGGAATTCAGGTTACATTCAGGTGTAAGGTCACTATGATGTTACCAGGACTATGGTGGTATCACTTTCACAGAAATCAAACCTGATACCCAGGAAGAGCAGATTTACTTGCTTAGCCTGTTTATGCTCTCATTTATTAAATCCTAGGGATAAAGAGGGGAGAGAGAAAGGTTTGCCCACTCCACCGGTGATGGAAAGGTATCATTGCATCCCTTCAGAACCCCCAAACTTGGTGTTTCTGCTCTGTGTAAAGAGAAGCAGCACACACCCTGCTTATCAAAACAGGAAGATTCTTAGAAAGCCCAAGCAAACAATAACCCAAAACATCAAGGAACAAACAAACAAAAAGAGAAGCAAACAAACCAATAGATAAAACCACCAAATTCCAAAAGATGTTTCTCTATCTTTTGATGCTGTCCAAGGGACTCACCTAACTTAGCCAACTCAAACCTCGGTGTCTCACCTATGCCAGTTGTTAGGAGACTCCCAGTGCTTGCAGGAGTGAGTCTGACCTTCACCATGGATCCAGCCAAATTTCCCTGTCACCAACTGAAAGCCTCTCATTGCTCAGCCACTGAGCAGTGGGTTTCACTCTGGCTCCACGTGGGTTTCACATCTCCTAATCAGGTCTTCTGCCCTCTTTCCCCAGCAGCCAGAGGTCTTTCAGACAGCCAGCAGTGCAGGAGCAACCGTGGCCGCTGCCGGAGGCTTTGCTTCCACATGGAGCGCTGGGAAGGGAGCTGCGGGAACGGCCGCCTGCGCTGCTGCCGGTGACGGGGGGCCCACCAGGACAGAGCCCAGCACCCCAGGAGAGCCAGCCCGGTGTCCCTGCAGCCACAACTGTTAGTAGGATCCGCTCTCAGACACCTCCACACTTGGTTTTCCCATCACCAATAAACCTGGTTGGTTTTTTATGTCCTTCCGGGTCCCGGAGTGCAGCTGTGTTTCCCTCTGGGATGGACCATCCTGACTTACACTGGGGGTTTGGCACTGCTTGAGGTGCACTGGGGTGTCCAAAACATCGGCAAAAGGCTGACAGATGTCATACACACCAAGGGGTGCCTTTCCAGAGTGGCAGCAAGAGAGGGGTCTGCTGGACTTGTCCAAGTCTCTCTTCTAGCCCATTCCTTTACCTCTGTCTCAGGCCCAGCCTTTCTCAAAATCAGTTTCTTGCTCTCTTCAGGAAAGGCCATGGCAGGATCCATCCTTTCAAGGAGATGAATTCAAGACAGAGGTATGATTTGTCCTCCAAAAGTGCCTCTTCCTCTCCCACAGAAACAACAAGGTGAACCAGAGTCTACAACTCATGTTTTCCAACCTGATCTAGTGGAAGATGTTCCTGCTCACTGCAGGAGGTTTGGGCTAAATGGCTTTTAAATGTCTCTTCTGACCCAAATTTTTCTGTGATTCACAAAATAGATGCCACTCACATCACGTGAGGGACATCACTGCCTCTTTTCCTGCCCATGCTGATCTATTGAGTGGAATTATGAGTGGGAATGGGCCAAGGCCAAGTTCACTTACAGCAGCTCCTCACCAGGGAGTAAATGTTGTTGACTGTGAAGCTAAGGAGGAAGAGGAATTGCCTGTCATGATGTGGTCTGGAGCAGGACCCCAGAAGCAAGTCTTCACCTTGGAGGTGGTGAGGGGGAAAGGAGGTAGTGTAGGATGAGAAAGAATAGAGATGTCTTGGAGTTGTGAGGAGAGAGATGGCTTGACAGGATATGAAAGTCTCCCAGAGAGAAACCTGGAAGATTCCTCTCTGGAAAACACCCAGTATATGGTACCTAGGACATGCAAGCAATGAGGTGGACTTAATTCCCACCCTAACCCCCCCAGCTACACACCTTGCTTCAAGCTAAACCCACTCTGCTATCTAACCCAAAGGGACCAGTCTTGTCCTGGAGGAAACAGGGAAACCAGTAAAACCAGCTGACAAGTTGTCAGCCAGTGGAGATCTATCCCATCTTTGCCTGGACTGTGAGCAGGGAGAGATTCCCTCACTCCTCCTGAACCAGAGAGGGACTGGGCTCCTGTGGGCTCCGTGCTGGAATAGCCCATCCGTGCTCCCAGATCCGCAGGTTGCAAACACGGCGGCAACGCCTTCGTGCAGTCCCCTCTCCTGGATGCTCCTCCTCTCCGCTGAGGGACGGTCCTGCTCCACGGGGCCCTCGGAGAGCTCAGCCAGAGGTTAGCAGCCACCCCGGCTCACAGGAGCCATCATTCCCATCGGGAGATAAGGCTCCCCTTGATAACAAGACCTGCCAGAAACGAGCCTCCAGTTTTTCCACCTTTTTGAAGTCTAGCCGGTGAAGTTTTGCAGAACCTTGTCTGTTTGCCAAAGTAACCAACTTCCAGCCCCAGCCTTTGCCTTCCCTCCTTTTCCCCGACCTCCTCCCCCCCTGCCTTCCCTCTTCCTCCTCGCTCCTCCACGCACACGCCTCTCCGTGGGGCTGATAGAGATGCTGGAGGGGGTGGACACGGCGAGGGGCTGATGTCATCTGTTTTTGGTCCTTCAGAGGAGCAGGCGCTGCCGGAGGAGGAGGAGGCAGGGGTTAGACACGTCTGCCTCTACCCAGCCTGGCGCCGGGAGCAACTGGGAGCCTTCCCTTGGCAGCCGCCCCTGCGCCTTATCAGGGGGCAGGATGACACCTCGGGGACGGGATGCCGGGGCTGCAAAGGGAAAGGAGGCGGGGAGCCCCTGAATGTGAGCCTTGAGAGAGGCGTGGACGCCTGGGTGTGCACAGGGATGTGTGTGTGTGAGTGTGTGAGCTCACTGGGAGCAGGGAAATCGCTCCCAGCAGGATGGAGCCGGCTATCAGCCGCCGGGGAAGCAAAGGAGAAAACGACTCGGTGCCAAAGCCCAGCCGAGTCAAGGGCGATGCTGTCGCCCAGCTCCGCTCCTGCTCGGCCCTGGGAAAGTTTAACCTCTCATATCCCAGCCAGAAGACCTGGAAAATCCTGCGCGACCATCTGGAAAGGGTTAGAAGATCCCCCTTGCCATCAAAGGAGGAGGTCAGGGCAGAGGGAGGGAGGTAAATCCATCTGTCCCACACCCAAAGCTTGGGTTCAGGAGGTATCTCTAGCAGAGCTGAGTACAAATTTATGATGGAAATGGTTTTGAGATGGAGCGCTGTGTCCCTCTCCAGAAGGTTTTGGCTTTTTTTTTTTTACACTTGAAATGGAGACCCATCATTCCCCATAAAACAACAGTAACTCTGACACCTCCACCTTTTTCTTCTCTCCCCAGAAATGGGGTTTGATTCAAAAAGTATGAAATATTTGTGGTTAAATGCAGAACAAACTATGCTTCCTATCTCCTGCAACAGGAGGGAAAAGCCTTGTGGGACCCAGGAGATGCAGCCCAAGGAGAGAGATTTCCTTACACCCATGGTCTTTTAATATATTTAATTTTTTATTATGCATTAATGTTAGAAAGGATATTTCCCCCCCATTCTGATGGATCGTCTTACTCATTTTGGATACCATTCCTCTAGAGGAAAATGGAGATTTGAGGAGAGGATCTACAGCCCCTGAGGCACAGGACAGAAATCTAAAGGAGTGCTTCTTTTCCAGCTGAAAAAAATTATAAAATTAATTTTCTTTTGCTTGGAATAAATAAGATTTCCTGCAAAAGTCATTCTCATGTAATTGTATCTCTCTGTATTGTAATTACAGTGAGAAAATAGATACTGAAAAACTAGGAGTGCTATAAATCAGGGTCACCTTCACGGACTCCCTACAAAGCACAGGTTTCCATCTCCATGGCCTCTATATCTCCATTGGAACCAGAGGAACGGGCTCTGTGCAGCAAGGAATTATGTCTGAAAAGGGTCTTCTTGTCTCTGTGGATGGCAAAGGAAGCCCAGGGCAACCCACCAACGTGGAGACTCTTACCCTCAGTCAGTTTGCAGATGGGTGGGAACGCTCCCACCAAGTTGGGTGGGAGTGTTGATCTGCTGGAGGGCAGGAAGGATGGATCTGCAGAGAAGTCTGGACAGGATGGATTCACAGGCTGAGGACAATTGTATAGGGTTTAAAAGGCCAAATGCCACGTCCTTCACTTCGGTCACAACAACCCCCTGCAGCTCCAGGCTGGGGCAGAGTGGCTGGAAAGCTGGGAGAGGTCCTGGGGGTGGTGGTTGGCAGCAGCTGAACAGGTGTGCCCAGGTGGACAAAAGGGCCAATGGCATCTGGACTGTATCAGCAAGAGTGTGGCAGGATTAGGGAGGTGATTCTTCCCCTGTGCTGGGCACTGCTGAGGCACCTCCAGTCCTGGGGGCAGTTTTGGAGCCCTCACAGCAAGAAGGACACTGAGGGGCTGGAGCGTGTCCAGGGAAGGGAACTGAGCTGGGGAAGGGGCTGGAGCACCAGGAGCAGCTGAGGGAGCTGGGGGGGGCTCAGCCTGGAGAAAAGGAGACTCAGAGGGGACCTTCTGGCTCCCTGACAACTCCCTGGCAGGAGGGAGAAGCCAAGCGGGGTCTCCTCTGCTCCCAGGGAACAAGGGATTGGACAAGAGGAAACAGCCTCAAACTGCACCAGGGGAGGTTCAGGTTGGACATCAGGAGGAATTTCTTCATGGAATGGGTTGTCAGTCTTTGGAAGGGGCTGCCCAGGGAGGTGGTGGAGTCCCCATCCCTGGAGGTGTCCAAGGAAAGACTGGCCATGGCACTCAGTGCTCTGGGCTGGGTGACAAGGTGGGGATCGATCACAGGTTGGACTTGATGATCCTGGAGGCCTTTTCCAGCCTAAATGATTCTGTGATTCTGGGTGATTCTGTGATTCTGCTGGTCAAATGAACGTCTGCCAGCAAAACCTTGTCACTTTTTTTTTACATTAATAAATTGATGCCCTGTTTGTAGACCCTGACAAAGAGGACTAAGAAGCAGTGCAGCCCCTGGCACTGCCCTGTGCTGACCTCGGTTGTTCACATCCCAGCCAAAGCCTGGCAGTGGGTCAGCCCTGACTGCTCAGAGGCTGTGCAATAAAGTACATGTCTTTTCTAGGCATAAATAAATGACTTCACCCTTCTGGCAAGGGTGCTCTGGGCTCTTTTGGCAGCCCCACGTGGAAGGACAGCAGTGCTGGAGGAGCACAGCCCCCTCCTCCCAGGGACGGAGCACTGGATGCTCCAAGACAAACACTGTGGTGAGCAGCTGCCAGGCTGCTCCCCAGGGTGACAGCAAAGCCACCTGAAGCCAAAATCTCATGGATCTCAGTTAGGAGATGCCCTGAGGCAGTGGGGAATTTGGGGGAATGTGCAGGGGAATGGCTCTGCACCCCAGATGAGAGAGGGTGAATGATCTCTTTACCCCTCTCCATTCTCCTCTCCAATGCCACAACTTGCAGGACCCTTCTCCAAACCCCATGAACAGTCTGCTCTTCCTTCAGAATCATCTCCCTGTGCTTGGGATGGACAGAAAAGCTGTCAGGAGGCTTCATTGTCCAGATCTTCAGGGCGTTATCAGCAACTCCCACACACTGGAAGTGAGATATGTGTGACAACATTTTTTCCATCAGGGAGCTTATCATTGCTGAGAAAAGGGGAAGGGACTGGGGAGGGTGATGGGGAGGATGAGGGAAGGAGGGGAGGTATATGAACATGAATGCCACCCACCCCATCCTCCACCCACCCCATAATCCCCAAATCTATGAAAGAAGGAGAGGAAAAACCATTTTTTTTTGGAGGAATGTGTTGTCCAACCAGTTGTGTCAGACCTAAAGCCTCCTGGCCCAGTAGAGCCAGTCCTAAATTTCTTGGGTAAGATCCTAAAACTCTCTTCCTGAACGCACATCTCTTAATTCATATGGGTGTATACACGAGTGGAGAGACCTTCTGCAAGGATGTTGTCTGGGCTAGAGAGACCCCAAGGGGTATGACCCCTTCTTGGTGTCAGACAGATCCTTCCCAGGGCTGGGGGGAAGCTCCAGCCAGCAGGAAAGAAAATAATGTAGCAAAAATCTTGGCTGTATCAGAACACAACAGAGCAACTGGGATCCCATCACAGTGACTGCATCTTGCTGGGGTTTGCCAGTGGTCACTCCAAAAAATCCAAAAGGTCTGGGAAGGAGGAGTCCTGGGCCACAATCCTGTTTTGTAGAATAGAACCTGAAACCTGGCTTTCTCGGTCCTCATCTGGAGAAGACAGGAGGAGAAGAAGTAAGGGATGGTTCTTCAAGCCTGGAAGTCCATCCCCAGCTTGGGGGACCTGATGCCGTGGTCCTTGGAGCACCAAGAAACAGCAAAGTCTGTGCTACAGGAGCTGTGATGAGAAAACCAAACCTGCAACTGGGTGATGGGAAGGCTTTAGGGAACCACAAGACTTGGTGAGAATTCAGATAGAGGTCTGGAGCTGGCAGCACTTGCAAGGGCTGTGAGGTCAGCAGGACAAGGAGCTGAGGATTCAGGTGTGATTTCATAGAATCATGGAATGGTTTGGGCTGGAAGGGATCTTAAAGATCAGTTAGTTCCAACTTCCCTGCCACAGGCAGGGAACTTTCCACAAGACCAAGTTGTTCAAAGCCCAGTCCAGTCTGACCTTGAACTCCTCCAGGGATGGGGAGTCCACAGTTTCTCTGGGCAAGCTGTGCCAGGGCCTCATCACTCTTAGAGAAAAGAATTTCTGCACATTTGCTCTGGAAATCACTATGTTTATTCCAAATTCATGCATATCCCACGTTTGCAATTAGCCTCTTTTCTCCCAAGCTCTGGGTTTCTGCTTGGTCCACAGCAGCCCTTGGAAGCAACCACCTTAAATAAAACACAGTTCCTGGGATTAAAAAAAAAAAAAAAAAGATAATAAATAATAAATAATCTCTCCCCCAAGCTGCTGCTTGCAAGGAAAGCCCAAGACAATGCTTTCCTGGTTTTGCTTCAAGGCAAGAAATTTGGCAATGCTGTCTTGGGTTATCACCATGGGGAGGTGATTGCCTAAAGGAGACATCTCTGAAAGCAAAGATGAAGCTGAGGGCCCCCTTGCAGGGCATGGGAACACGTTTATCTCCCCAGAGAGGACAGTTATTGATTTGCCTGATGGACTCTTTGCTTCATGGACAGTTGAGGATTTGCATTATGGACTCTCCAGGCTGATGTTTCCAAGGAAGGGGCTGGATGACAACACAATCCTTCAACATATGATCCACAGTCCAGGGGCAGCCCTATCTGAGCACCAGACATCTCCTGACACAGAGCACATGGAGAGAAAACACATGGGAGCACAAGGCAGGGGGAAAAATGTGGATGTTTTGTCTGCTCCGTGGTGTGATTAGTTCTGGTAGCCACGGTGGGGAGGTGGCAGCTGCTGCTGCTGTGATTAATGGGAGGTTTCACCATCAGCATCGTCCCTCCCAGGCTGCCTGCTCCTCTGGGAGCTGCTATCTGCTGGGAGATGATGTTCCTCAAGCACAGTTCGTTAGCAGAGTCCCCTGGGGGGTGACAGACTGCGGTGGGTCAAGCACAGGCTGGAAAAGGGTCTCTTGGATTTTGTGAGCTGACACAGTGGGGGATGAACCGAGGTCCCGCTGAGTGTAGGCAGAAGCAATTTTGGCTCGAGCTGATCCAGTTACCAAGCCCCACAACAGCCCTCTCACTCACCAAGAGTCAGCTGGTGAAAGCCTTCAAAAATGCCTTCAGAGATTGGCAGAATCATCCCACCAGCCACTGCCAAACCCCGAGCCACCAGCTGGATCACCCTGAGACAAAAATGGATCTTGAAATGTCTGTGGAGACCTTCTGTGACTTGGGCATGGGACAGGGACAAATGTGTGTCTCACAGATGAGTCTGCAGCAGTAACTCTCTCACGAGGGCAGTGGTCAGCCTTAGACCAAGAAATGAGGTTTGTGGAGGAGGGTGGTGCTGTGAGGCTAAGAAATATGGGGCCTTTTAGTAGGGCCTGTTGTGACAGCACAAGGGGTGATGCTTTTAAACTAAAGGAGAGTCAATTTAGATTAGATATGAGAAGAAGTTTTTGCTTTTTGCTTTTGCTGTTGGCAAGGCCCTGGCACAGGTTGCCCAGAGGAGCTGTGGCTGCCCCATCCCTGGAAGTGTTCAAGGCCAGGTTGGATGGGGCTTGGAGCAACCTGGGATAGAGGAAGTTGTCACCAGCCATTGTAGGGAGATTGGACTAAATGAACTTTAAAAGTCTCTTCCATCTCAAACCATTCCACGGTTCTATGAAATATCCTCTGGTAGTGCAAGGAAGGAGAAGGTGCCTTGGATTTTTGGGGAAATCCTGTACACAAGCACAGTGTACCCATGTCAGTGTTGTGCTGCTCTGAGAATAGAAGACTTTTTTTTGCCAGATTGCTCTTTCACCATCCAGGCAACTGAAGGGATGAAGGGTTTTCTCTAGAACCCCAGAAGGTCTTCCAAACCTGACCATCCAGCAGTTCACCTCGACTGCAGGGTGGCAGCCTGGTAGAGGTCAGAGACATCTCCAGTTGTTTCCTTGATCTGGTGCTCCTTGACCATCTCTTTGTCTCTCTCTGTCTTCACAGCTTGCAGGTCATCAAAATGGGGAAAACTTGCTCTGGAGGGGTGGTACCTGCACCAAGGAAGGTGAGCTAATGGTACAGGGGGAAAGGACCCCACTAGTGGGGCCCCAGGCTAGATAACACAGGTGAAGCACGGACCAAG